GTGTATGTATGTGGGTACACTTTGCGGCCCACAACTTTTGTGCGTTGAGCTGATTGGCGGAGCAGTAGTGTGCGTGAAAGCAAATAAGCATTATTTGTATGTGTGTTCGTGTATGTATAGATACGAGTATATATTTACGGTTTCTACATTATGCAGGCCCATTGCAGTGAATTGAAGTGAGTATGTGTGTGCGCGTGTGCATGGGTGTGAGTGTGTTTATGCATTGTGCTGCGTGTGAACGGCGTAACCGCAAAAGCACATCCCCAAACAGGCCGACTGGCCGAGACAAAAGCAACTACAACAACAATGGCAAATGAGCGTGAAAAGCAGAAAAAGAAAAACTCAAAGTGCATGTGTGTGTGTATGTACAATGGTTGAGTGGTGGACCAACAACAAATGCAGCAATCCCAGCCGCCCAACCAACAGCCGACCTGAGCCACGTCACCCACACACAGCGCCGCCGCTTTTACATTAGTATTAGATGATTTGCTGTTGTGCTGTTACTATTGTTGTTGGCATCAGTGGAGGGTAATTAAAAATTTCCACTAAAAACCAAACAGCCACACAGGCATACATACAAAGTGGATAGTAGCGCACAGAGAAAAAATGTTTACATAAATGGTGATTAGTGCTTTTAGCTGTGTCTATGCATGTGTACGTGCGTGTGTGGTAGAGTTGGCGTGGGTGGGCGGCTATAAAAACTAGCATGTAATTGAGGGCGCACATCAATACACACACATACTTAGATATTATTTTTTTTATACACATGAGTAGCTGATCGTGTGTCTGTGTGTGTGTGAGAGCATTTATGCATAAGAGCTGCTGCCTACTTTTAGGCGGCTTACTAAGCTCACACTCGTATTTGAAACCACTGCCTCGTACCATTTTTAATTCCCTTTTAGCTTTTATTATGTATTTATGGTTTTCATTTCTAAAACTCCACTTCAAATTTTCATGCTTCGTCTGCTTTTTATGTGTATTACGCAAGTGTTATTGTTTTTTTTTCTATTCTTATTTTCATCTCCCTTATCGCCATTTTCCATTTTACATTTTCCTGGCTTGACAACTACAATTTATCACTGAAATTCTAATTTTTCATATTTTACGATTAATAATCGTTTTTTTTTCTGTTTTCTCTTTACGTTGCATCTCAGGTTATTTCTTCAAGAAAAAAATTAACTTAAACACTAAAAAATGCATCGTAAATCATGGATGTACTGGTTTTATAATTATTTTCCTGGAAATTTTCTGAACCATTAACACCATCTATATTGAAAAGAAATAAAGCAGAAAATAAAAGACTGATAAGAGTAGAATAATCTAATAGTAAGATAAACATTTAATGCTTTATTTTTCTTTCAATTTTATAATTAAATAAAACAGCAATATTTATGTAAATAATATTGAATTAAGTTTTATTCTATAATTTTAAATACATATTATTATCATTTTTCTTTTGTTAATATTTATGTCTATAGGTATATTTTATTAAAAGACTTTCAATTCCTCAAGTTTATACTTAAGTTTTAATTTATTTCCATATTTTCCTAATATTTTTTCTGAGTCTCGTCAAGTGTACTCCCCCAAAAAACAAAATTGTGACCGCATAATCTACGTCAATTATCGTGGGATATCACACACGAGGTACTAGACAGCATATTGACTGAAAGACCAAAGTCCACGATTGACAAACTGATTGGAACTGGCGAATTGACATTTTACCAGATAATATTCATCACTCGTCAAATCTTGGAAAATACCCGTAAAAAAAAGATCTACACGGTAAAGCCGTACTCGATAGCACTACGGTGGGCTACCTCTATGCGGCTTTGTCTACATTGCGGCTGAGTACTCGACGCAGTACCCACTTCGTTGGACCGATCAGATGGGAAAGACATGGCCCTGATTGGTGTGCGCAATTAGCATCCAATAGCAAATATAATATACAACAAACTTTAATCCAAAATATACAAGCTCCTACAGGAGATAAGATAAGATGAGATTGGGTCAGAATGGCAAGTTGAGTTGATTTAGCCATGCCCGTCTATTTGTTCGCATGAAGGATTATTTTTGGGAACCGGCCAGATAGAGCCACAGACCACTATAACATATAACAAATCCTTCCAAAACGAATATAAAAGCGTGAGATTTGGTATTCTAAACACGTACACATACGTACAAATAAACATTGTCCCTCGAAATCAACGAAATCGAAGGATCACATCATATAGGCCCCATACAAGCGAATTCTTCAGTTGAAATCAGAAAACTTCAAAGTATAGTCCGATCCGCCTTCGAAATAGCTCTTTTTTTTCTTCTTTTTTTATCTAATATATATGTATATGTATTTCGTTTATTATTTTTCTTGTGTTTTCTCTTTCCATTTATTTTTGGTTTTTATTATAATATTTAAAATAACCACTTTTCATTTAAGCATTTTTATATAAAGCCTTCTGTACTATTATCTCTGTAATATATTTTCACTTGTTTAATTTCAGCCTATAATACCGTCACTCTTTGCCAATTTATCATTTATAGCACCAATCATGTTAAACTTGATAAAATTACGGTAAGTCTTAAGTCGAAAAACTTTCTGTTTTGACGATATTTCTTTGATTTTAAACCATTACTCTGATAACGTGGAATAAATTTTTATGATGGGCATGATAAAGTTTTCTAAATGTTGTTTTACATAAATTTTTTATTGAGTATTTTATTATGTTTTTCATATATTTTATTATCTAATACCCAAACGGATTTTCCTTCGGATATAATTTTGCTAACTTTTCTGATATTCGAGCCTCGTACACCAAAGTCTTACAAAGAAATGCGTATTCAGTGTAAAATACTTCTCTAAAGCCGGCTCTGCCCAAATTATAAATATTCTCGTTTATATGCTCAGTTAGCTCTGCACGTCATTAACTTTATAAATTCTCTTCCCCGTCCAAACAGAAAATTTTCTCCTTTTTTACCATATCAGTGGTTGATTTGGTATCCTTTGATTTTCTGGACACTTTCCCTAGCAATAAAAAAAATGTTTAACTAAGTTTCTTCCATCGCTGTGTCAATAATTGCTAGAATAGTTTTCTAAAACAGGAAAATTGCATTTAAAAACAATTAGCAATTAATTATAATTTCCACCGAAACCTAATTAACAAATGAACATTTCAATTTTAAAACGCAAATATTATCTAAAAGGAAATATAATAGAAAACAGTAATTAACGGCACAAAATACAACAGAAGCGAATGAAAAAAAAAAAATGAAAAATTTTAGGCAAGGTAGTACAGCGTCACTGATACTAGTTTCCTACTTCTACTACTATCCACGAATAGTACTATTTTTGAATACTGTTGTAAGTGTTACTATTTACTTGCTTGCATTGCTATTTACAAAAAGTACTGCCAGCAAATCATTAATAACATATATAATAATAATGATATAATTGACGTTTTGTAAGCTACTACTATTTACAAATACTTATACTACATCTTTGCCAAATTAGTTTCTTACTACAAGCGCCAGAAAATGGAAGTACTACCTTTTTCATCTCACCTTTTTTAATAGATTTTACTTCTCATTTCCAATACAATTTACCGCTATTTACTTACACTACTTTTTGCTAATAATAGTTTAGGCTTTTACTACTATTTATCAATACTAGTAGTGGTAACTTCAGCTACTACTATTAATTTCTTACTCCGAATACGAACTAAAACTTGACTTCAATTCGAATACCGTCAAAACTATCATTTATACTACTATTTTCAGTAATGATGCTATATTCACTACTATTTCGATTACCTTTACTGTACCCAATTTGCTGTACATATGTATATGTATGTATTTTACAACGCAATTTGAATACTTTGTGTGGTTGTAAACGCTTTGGTGTGGTTCTATGCCTTCATATTTGCCATTGCAATCGTTCAAGTTCAAAATCATGCCCTTACGAATATACAAATTTTACATACATGCATACATACATGCCTACATACATCTGCACATATTGCATTATTTCTTTTTATCAGCCCGCTTAGCGGCACATGTTACCAAATGTCATTGTAAGCGCGTTAAAATGCTCCGAATAACTACCATTTGTACAAACAGAGATATGCAAACTTGCAACAACAACAACAGGCGTTTTTTAAACATTACTGATTACACAAAGCAATAAAAATCTGTAGACAATTATACTGTAATTTTAGGAAACGGGTAAATATACAGCCAGAGTATGCAAAAATGCAAATGAAAATAATAAAAAAATATAAATAAATTGCGAAAAGGAAAAAAATTTAAAATAGTTTAAACTTTGAATAGAAGTTCATATTAAAAAATGCATAAAGTAATAATAAAAAATAAGGTAGAAACTCAAAAAGTTAATATTCAGAAAATACATAACGAATTCAAAAGTTGAGCAAATAAAAAAAGGCAATCATAAAAATCGAATTAAAAAAAAATTTATTCTAATTGAAGAATAAAAAAAATAAAAAATCTCTCGCCTTAACCATCTCATCGACTGCACGAAGTCTTTACCCTATACTCGTACATATATGTAAATATATAATTTAGCGCTGTAATTTTTTTCAAATTAAAATTTCGCGTTCGTGTCAAATGAATCTACTGTAAAAGCGAACTTAGTTTTTTTGGCCTATATAAATTGTAATAGCTAAAGGCCTACAATGCGAGCGAGTTATCAGTTAGTGAAGCAACAACAAAAACATTTTATAAATACAATGCAATCAGTTCGTGCTGCTTAACACCTTCGCCTCATACCGTTATACAATATTTCATTTCAATGACACTGACACTTGTTGGCCGACTGACACACACACACGTCCCCACTCAGCTACACAAGTATTGAACATTTGCGCAAACAGACTTGGAAAAAGTAGCGGAAGCAACTAAGAAACGACCAAAAACAACAACAGAATGTTAGAACCAATATAAAGACGGGCTTGAGTTCACAGACTTAAGACAGGAGTAATGTTTTGAAGAGTATTTTCATTTTACAACTAAAAATTGTTCTCGAATTAAAGCGTAAAAAAAAAAACATTTTCAATTCTTACTTTAATTAGCAGCAACAAATGACACCTACTCGTGTTTATTAACTACTGTTTATAAATTCGTGTGTTGACCTTTACCAAAACAAGTGTTTTATTTAATTATTTATCCACTTAATACAACGGTATTTACTTTACTCTGTCTTATTCCTTTGTTTTTGTTTTGTTTTCATTCTTATTTTTATTATCTGCAAATTATATCTGAGTTGGCGCTTATCAGCAGAATCTGTCGCAAATGAGAAATACGTGTACAAACACATTCATATATATCTCGCGGTAAATTTATATATACCTATATATGTATACCTAGATATATATATATATATATATATATATAAGTGTGTTTCGTAAAATTTAGCAAAATCCCTTACCAAAGCCACTTTGAGCAACAGTTAGTTGGCGCACGCCTAACGGTTCTACGATCAGTCGGAATTAAGAATACCTCGTCGGCAGTACGGTTATCGAGTCGAGCGAAACAATGTCGCAAAAGCAAAGTAAGTGGAAGCAGTGTAATGAGTGGAAATTTCGTGAAAAATCCTAAATTTAAATTAAAAAATATGAGATAAATTTGAAAAAAAAAATATGTTTTTAAACAGAGTTAGCCGAAGAAATGAGCTGAAATTGAATCAAAAATGAAATCCAGCATAACACAGCATCTGCTAAATCAGTTCTGCAAATTAAAAAAAGAACCACATTTTCTTGGTAAAGGAACAGTGTCAAAAATGATGTCGTTAGTGGTGAAAATTTTGAAAATATTCGAAAACATGTACGAAGTGAAGCTTTCCCGACTGTGTCGCTAATAAGCCATGGAAATACGAGAAAGATTAGAACATGTTTTGTTCGGGAACATCCCCAAACTTAGGCTAAACTTAGACTTTATTTGATACGAAACTGTTTACGAAAACCGCTCTACCCGGAGATTGTAAAAATATCTCTTTCTCATCAACATTTCTGCAACTCCAATAATATCTTCGGAAAAAAACGCCAGCTTTTCTGCATGCGGTTTTTAAAGGCGATATGCCGTCAGGATTCCAGAGAGAGTATAACCTATGCTACCTCTTTTGGCCGGCTAAGTTTGTCTCGGCTTACCACAGGACAAGTTTTGTTCCCACCTCGACTCGGCTTGTTAAATTCTCTTTCCTTAAGCGCTGATGTTTTACCAAATTAAGTGTGAGATTTTCAAGGATTATTTAGTTCTTCGTTTGGAGTAAGTCTCTCTTATACATATCCTCATTGTGAAGAATAACGTCTAGGAACGGAAAAGATTAGTGTTATGGAATTAATGCTTACCACACATTATTATTATTACACATATTGTACATATATGTGAGCATATGAATTTACTTTTTTACATCTGAAAGAATGAATTTCACTATCAGATCAACTTCAAAACGGTTAAATTGCCTTACCAAGCCTACAAATAAATTATCTACGTGGTCTCTAAATTAGAATATTCCCTACGGGTTATCTACATCTTTTGGCTAAGAGCTTCCCGCTGGTGTCTAATAACTGCTTGTGAGCTTAACTTCGAGCAGTTTTCCGTTCTGTATGCTCCAAGGCAAATACTTTGTTTATATTTTAACAGTTGCGTATTTTAGAGCTCGTAAATTATTCCGTTATTTTTATTTACTTACTTATTAAATATTTACTACTCAGTTGGTAAATATGGCAAAATAAAAATATTTAAATAATCTCAATAATTCATTAATTTTATTTTTACCAAACTAAATTACGGTCGAAAAATGTTCTGCCCACACACTAATCTCGCCACAATTCCAGCTTTCGTCTGCAGCTTACTGCTACTTCTGCTACTCCACGGCCTACACAGCACTCTTGGCCTCTTCGAGGGCTGCGATTACACATACAACATAAACCCCGGCACCTCTTATTTGGAATCGCCGTACTACCCTAATAGTTATCCTTCAGGCACATCCTGCCGTTATCAGTTCATAGCGCCTGTGGATTATACTATAGATGCTAGCTGCACCGTCGAAATTCCGAGCGTAAGTCTGACTCTCTTTGTCTGCCTCTCTCCATCTTTGAGCACGTTAATATGAGTTTCTTTTTTGCTACGCTCAGAATAATGGAAAATGTACTACTGAGTTTCTCTACATGAGCACCCAGGGCGATCAACAACTACGCGATTCGGAACAAATTTGCGGTCAAGGCACTTTAAATCGCACTGCTTTATTCCGGAAGTTGACCTTAGCCTATGCATCCTATGGCTCTAACGGTAAATTCCGCTGTTCACTGACGGTGCGGAAGCAACCCTGTGATTGCGGCTGGTCCGTGACTTCGAAAATTGCCAACGGCCAAGAGGCGGGCGATAATGAGTTTCCCTTCATGGCCGCTTTGCAGAATTTGGACTCAAGTACATTGATTTTTTGTGGTGGCACCATTAGTGAGTACTTGATCGACTTGAAAAATAAAAAATAAATAATAAAAATAAAATAATTTTACAGTTTCACATTTCCATGTTTTAACCGCGACTCACTGCGCTCAACAACAACCAATCGCTACGAAGATACGCGTGCTGGTCGGCTTCAAGTATAAATCGCAAGGTAAGGCCACGCTTAGTTAACGATCGAATGTAGATATAGGCAGAATCCAACATGCGATTCTTCTGTACTGTGCTCTACTATCGTTACACACTCTCTTATTTTATACTCATTTCTTATATTCTCTCCCTGTTTCTCATCAGTGAACAACTCTCGCTATTCCGCCGCCTATGCTGTCCAGCGTATGTACTCGTATCCTGGCTACGCTGACAACCCGCCCGTTAATGATCTCACACTTTTGGTAACCGCAACAAGTATCGAATGGGAGCTCGGCGTAGGACCGATTTGTCTGCCGCCATCTACGTAAGCCTACAGCGAACTCCATCCTGCTTTGTCAGCAAATTTTAAACCTTCGCCAAATCTTTGCTTTTTTCCAGTTCATCGACTTTCACTTACGAGACCGTGGATGTTGTCGGTTGGGGTACTACAAGCTTTGCCGGTCCCACCAGTGATTCACTGATGAAAGCCAATTTGATGGTTATCGAAAACCCGGTGTGTCAGAAGAGTTATGACGTGCCCATTTACTCGTCTCAGGTCTGTACCAATGACTACTCGGGCAATGGTCGTGACGCTTGTCAATTTGACTCGGGCGGTCCGGTGGTTCTGCGCAGCTCACGAATGTTTCTCATTGGCTGCATCAGCTATGGCCAGGCCTGTGGTCAGCCGTACGGCACGGGCGTGAATACACGCATAACCTTCTTCTTAAATTGGGTGCGACAGACGACGGGTTACACGACTTGCGTCAAGCCACTGGGTTAATGTTGTTGAATATGGAATTTTTTGTTGTTAACTTTGCTTGCATATATGTAAATAAATATCTACAGATCAGTACATCGCCGTGGTTATTTACACTTGGTATATAAGATTTAATTTGTTCATAATGAAGTAAGAAGCTCAAGCGATAAGCATAAAATTGGGCTAAATGGCAGTCGTTTAGAGTCGAGTTGATTGGGGCGAACAGTTGCGGTATAGTTCTTGCGTGGAAATCATCAGAGTAAGATGGCATGGCAAATGGCTCCGGAGACCCTAAGATTTTGTCAAATCTATATCCTGGCGACACTCTTATTTTCGCTCTTGGCACAGGCGATCGCGCAAATAAGCTGTATTACACAGGACTACTACCTGCCGTCGAACCAACAGGTATTCAATATAACATCGCCCAACTACCCAGCAGCCTACAGACCAGGTACAAATTGCCGATTTCGCATAATTGCCCCTTACGGATATGTGGTGGTGCTAAACTGTCTCTTCGAAGTGGTAAGTGTGCTCAGTCCCCAGAAAAACAATTGACGAACTCTCTTCCATCTATTTTTCCAGTATTCGAATACATGTGGCACTGAGTATTTCTACATCTCACGGGATGGCGACTTAGACTTTCGCGAAGGCGAAACCTTTTGCACCACCACAAATATCGTGCGCAACTCTTACTTCCGGCCCATGACGGTGGGATATTACTCATCGGCGATGAATACTAATCAGCAGGGTCGTTTCATCTGTCAGGCGTATTCACAGCAGCAACCCTGTGACTGTGGCTGGACCACACAGACGCGAATTACTAATGGTCAAGAGGCGGCGAAGCACGAATATCCTTCGATGGTTGCATTGCGAGATATCGGTTCTTCACAGCAGATCTTCTGTGGCGGCAGTATTGGTAAGTGAGAAAGTCAGAGAGAGAGAGGGGGAGAGGTGGAGAAATAGACTAATCTTTGTGTTTTGAAGATGTTTCACATATTAAATGGTCTTCTTCTTCCAGTGAGTAACCGACATATTATAACAGCGGCACACTGTATGCGCGTGCAACCGGATCCACGCAGGATAATCGCATATGTGGGAGACCATGATCTAAGTAGCAGTGAGTCCTTGGAAAAAGAAATCTTGCGCTATTAATTTTATTTTTCGAAATATAGATTGCGCTCTGAGCTGCTAAACTCACCACCCAGCTTTTCTTTCAGACATCTTTCTTATAAGCCAAGGCGTCTGAAACTTTAGTTGATGTGCTTCAGCTTTACAGCAGCGATCTACTTTTCCACATTTTCTCAAATCCTTTCTTCTCTTCCCACCACCTTTAGCTACCGAATCCATTTTCGCCGTGCAACATCGAATCCAACAAATTATCATACATCCCGGCTACGCCTCCACAGCCGATAGTGTCGTCAACGACTTGGCGCTACTCATCACCATAGCACGCATCGAGTGGTCACGTGGTGTTGGACCCATCTGCCTGCCACTACTACAAGCGTTTGTTAACAAACACTACAAGTAGCTTTTTTCATCTTTTCTAATCTAAATTTATTCATTATTCTCTTCCGCACAGCTCAGATTTGTTCACATACCGCACTGTGGATGTGACCGGTTGGGGCACTACCTCTTTTGCGGGTCCCAAATCGAATACTTTGCAGAAAGTGGAGCTCATGACGGTGGAAAACAGCGCCTGCGCGAACCAATTCAACACCACCATTACTCTCGCGCACCTTTGTACCCACGATTTTCGAGGTTTGGGACAGGATTCATGTCAATATGACTCTGGCGGTCCGGTTATACTCAGACAACAACAACAGTTGTCACAGCCGTCTCGCATGTACGTCTTGGGTGTGATTAGCTATGGTGGCACGTGCGGTGCTCGCTATGGGGTGGGCGTCAATACACGTATGACGTCACATCTGCGTTGGATCTGGACGTATTTGCAAAATGCGGGCGGTGTTTGTGTGCCCTAAATAAGTGTGCAATAAACCTATTTTCTATTCAAAAAATAAAGGAGATGGATGGAAGAGTTTAATTTTTTTAATGAAGATTGCGATCACAGAATGTCAGAAATTCATAGCTTGAGTGTATTTCTATCAAAATTTGGTTTGAAAATTAACCTTAAGAGCTCCACATGATGCCAGTCATTTTTTTCTTCGTAGGCAGTGTTGCCTTTATTATCAAATTTCCTAAGTTTAGTGCAAATATTTTGCATTTTATTAAATCTAATAATTTTATGCGTCGATTTATGTGTAAATACCAAAGAGCGTATGCACATTTGTAGAGTTCTTACATCTTCATATGAAGCTTGTGCTTTGTCACTGCACAGATCCAGCCTGACTGCTTTACTGTTGTTCTTGATTTTACTGCTGCTGCTGCTGCTGCTGCTGATGATGATTATGATGAGGACAAAAGACTTAATTTGCATTTAAATTAAAATGGCCTCCTTCTTGCTGTCGTCGCTGCCACATTCACTGCTCCACATTTTGCGCCGCAATTGTTTTATAGTTTATGGAAAATCGCAATTAAAATACTGACTTATGGTAAAGCACTATACATACATACATACAGGCATAAACACACAAATATTTTAAGTTGAGAATTTTGGCAATTTTGAGCAAATAAAACGAATGTGTGTAGTTTCGAACAGAAATGCAGTGATATATGTATGTAGTCTTATGTTGGGACACTCAATCATCTAAGTCATACTGAACGTCTCCGAAATAGTTCTCTCATATGTCCTTGAACCAACGTTTTTCTAGTCCTTGAAGCGAATGAGATATCTAATTTTTGGTGCGTCCTTGCGATCCATCAATTTCTCGGTTTTTAGCTCCTCAATCGTCTCAAAACGCTATCCACGTGTGGATCTCTCAATTTTTGGTGAATACGGTAACCGAGTAACGTTTGCGATGTTTTTGCCGAATTGCCGCATTTTAACTTAATTTCAAAATAAATTTTCGACAATACTGAATACTGTTCCGACCAAGACTTAAATCCATAGAGAATTTTATAAAGAATTTCACTTATCCGAGCCTTTGAAGTATGTACCAGGACCGAACCGATGCTTCCAAAAGGAAATAGAAGTAATAACTTGCTTGGTAAAAAGTAGTAAGAGATAAAGAAAGATTCGTGTATTCAAAGATGAAATCAAAGCCGTTTGGAGTTCGCGCTTTTCCAAGTCTCGAACGGTGCAGCTTTGCCAGCGACGTCATTAATCGCCAAGGTTAGGCTGCTTCGCAAAGCTTCTTTAATTCGATATGGTCGGCAAGTGCACATGTTCTAAGAACCTAGCAAGTTTTACATGATTGGTCAAGCTACGGTTTATATAACAAAAGCATTGCTATGTGTAGTAAGACCCTAACATCACTACTACGATATAAGAAGACAGCCGCTCTTAGGTCTCTCAACAAGTGCCGCTGGCCCAGATCATATGGAGTTGCCAGGAAATTTCCATTATCAATGAGAGCAACGTGGTCTGAGCCCTACAACCGGGTTTTTCTAGATTATTGAGCAGGTCGATCGAAAGGAGCAGAAAAATTATCAGAATTCAATTCAAAGAAGTTAGCAGGCCACATGGTCGGATGTCTCAACTGAGCACTCCAACGTTTTGAACAGAAACAAGAAGAGCCTACGAAGGCCACCAGAGGAATCATGAGAGCTCATCAGTTGTAACTTTCTTCTGATTTTAGAGCAGTCAGTCTGCATTTCCCGTCATGTCCTAGTATATCCTTTACCACACTTAATTAAGCTCTTTACCTATTACCAACTACTTACATACATACAAACACACATACATATGTACAGTATAATTAACCCTACGCGACAATTACGCTATGATTACGACATCAAAGGTTAAATAACAAAAAAAAAAGAAAAACAGAACTAATTGCCACTTAAAAAGCAACAACGAGGCAGCGCAAGCCGTTTAAGGACACAAACCACTTTTACTTTAGCTTGAACATGAACTTGAAATTTTACGCAAATAATTTTTTAAAACAATTACGAAGAAACTGTATACGGAAACATGCATGCTAAATATCTATATATATACTTATATTTGTAGGTACTTGCAGTAATTATGGCGAATGAAGAAGTGGAGAGAAAATAAAAAGGGGAAAAAAATCGCAGAAGAGGTACTTGCGCTAATTCGCGAGGCGCAGGACATCAAAGCACGATGTGAATGCAGAAGTGCAGTTTGATTGCGAGTAACGGCAAAAAATATGTGAGAGATAGCACAACAACAACAAGCAATTTTAGTGAAAAGTAAATAATAAAAATACTAAAAATTATTATTCTAAAAGAAAAAAGGATATTCAGCAAGGCCACCAGACATGCCGGCCAACGGGCAACATTTTCAACTGCAAGAAAATTAATTCATGTTAAAATAAAAATATCACAAATTAGCTTCACAGCAAAGATCATCTCACACCCACACTCGCGTGAGTTCTTTGTGTTCCTTCACTCCTCTTTTACGTAAATAGTGCTTAATGAAATTGTTGTTGTTGTGATTGTTTGGCAGTTAATTGCATAGAAGTACCCCAAAAAAAAAAGAATAAGAGCGCGAACAGAGAATGAAAAAATATCTATTTAAGAGGACCAAATAACCAAAAAAATCTCGTTTCAGAGAAAAACAAGCAAATAGTGGCTGGCGACTGCACTTTTTCCTTTGCTATTTTTTTCTTTCATTATATCTATTTGTGCACGCTTATTTAATAACGAAAAAATGCAAATGTAAATAAAAATAAATTTGCACAGCGAACGCGGTTACACAATGGGGTCAGCGACGGGGTCACAGCCGACAAGTCAGCCGAGATGTGGGAGAGAGTGCACACGACAGGCTGCAGGCGGTCGACGTAGGATGGGGTGAGGCCTGTTCTGCACCACTTCAATTTTCCTGCCACTTGCTCGAACACAGAGCACAGCGTAGCACAACAACAAAGCTCGATCTGAAGAACTCTCTGCACTTAGTTCGTAGCCCACTTCAATTAACCCTTTTTATGCACAGCTGCAGTGAGTAATCAGGGTGTATTGAGCTTGTTCACCTCATGGCTTCTATAAAATGTATTAAATAATAAAACTAATTTTGATCAAAAAGTGATTTTCAACGAACACCTCGTGCATACCAATAACTGTGTAGACTGTGACTGAACCTCGCCCTCTTTGGGATTGGCTTTGTGGTTGCACTTATCACCAGGTGTTAACAATCAGAGCACTCATGTCCATATATTCTTGCTGGCTGATATGAACGTAATTAATTGAGATGTTTTGCCGAAATCGCCCTCATCTTTTTCATTCGCTGACTTAGTTTTATGCTCGTCTCCGCCTTTCATCCACCTGAACTAATGTTCGTATCCATTCGTACTTAGCTTGACCCTACTTGCTGGTTTTTCTTGCCTTTTGGCATTTACATTCTATATTTTGTATTTTTTCTGCTCGTTTCTTTTGTACTCGTATTTTCTTCTGGCTTTGTACATTACCACTTTTTGTTGGTTATTATTAATCTGTTGTTGTTTATGTTGTTGTTTATGTTGTTTTTGTCATTATTATAACAGTGATTGCGGGTGCCACACTGTCCGTTTCTCCTTCTCTTCATCTTCTACTGCCACACTATATTACAATGCATTTGCAAATATATACCTACATACATACATATTATGCATGTGAGCCTGATCTTCTTCTTCTGCATCCTACAGCAAATCAAAACAACATTTTTTCTATGCCACACTTTTTATATTTACTTCAGCCACTTTCGCGTGAAGAGATTTTGTTGCAACATTGTTTTGTTGTGCTTTAAATACTTTATTCGCTACTTTTGCTTTGCTTCCAATTTCTTTTTGTTACGGATGTGCACATTGGTTGGTTGTTGTTGTTGTTATTGTTGTCAACGTTGATGCAAATGCAGTTGTTTGAGCTTTGAGGAAGTACTCTGCCAGTTCACTTGAAGCATCCAATGGCTGGCTGGCTGCCTGCCCGCCTGCCTGACAGACGCTTGAGCTTGTCGAGCGGCCCCAGCATCGTGTGGGCTGGCGATTGACAGTCGGGCAGTCAAGTGTCCTTTTTAAGCCTTTTTTATCCTCCATACAATTTTTTATTATATTTTTATATAACATTATTGCTCTCAAGTTTGTGTCCTTTCTTTCTTTTTTGTTTTAGTACAACAATACAAATGAACTTAAGCGCTTTTGTGTGTCAGCGTGAAGGCAATTTGTATAAGCTGTTGTTTGTGTGCTCCTTCGTTTGAGCAGGGTGTGACTGCGGGGTCTGGGCAGAGTCAGCGTTGACAATAACAATTATGAAGAATTACTTAAGTGCACTCGACCACATTTGTTCATAATAATAACAAGTGGAGAGGCGATAGGTAACTGCTCCGGACCGGGGGGGCTAACGTGGCGCGGTTTGATCGGTAGGGAGACAATGAACATTTGCATATTTGCTTTAAAAATCTAAGCGTGTAAAATTTTCTAAAGGGCTTGTTTGTTATCGCAAATAGCCCAGTTGCGCCACGAGAAATCCATCTTTTTCTGTAGAAATAAAACTTAGAAAAATTTAATCGCGTTTATATTTAAAAACGAGTTTGCTGGCTATTAGGTTCGGCTGCCTGCTCCACTCCCCTACCCGTATCGAATAGATTTATTAGGTACAAGCCCTGCCTCAAGACGTAGTAGCAAGTACTAGGACCAGACAAGAATTTATCCTTCATGGGATCGACTATGTGCAGGATTTAATCGCCACCTCTTCGGAAGGTAATGTACGAGTTTTAATCTAGCCGGTCGAAAGAGGGTATGGAAGAAACTACAATACCGTATCCGTATTTATTTGGTGGGATGATATTGCTACACTTAATCACCGGCCACATAGGAGAGAGAGTCGACAGGTTACATCTTTTCAGAATCCTGGAACTTTTGTCATATGCGTTTCTCAAACTGCGTTCTATTAGAGCCAGTAAATCTTATTTACAACAGTTTCATGATTAGATAAGCTTTTTTAAGTTATCTACTCGCCCCCGTCGTGTGTCGTGCGACTCAAACAAAAATTAGATAAAGGCTAATTTCCTCCAAACTTTTAGTTATTGCTTTCACGTAGACAGCCCATCTACCCACATAGTTTCATGTAAGCAATATTCCGATTCTAATCCTAGCATCCGCGTTAGCAACAGCAGCAGCAGTAGCGGTACGCATTAGAGCCTACACCAACTCCATAATCCCTACGCTATCTTACTCTACCCACCAATCAGCGCCGTCAACACAAGATCTCGGGCCAACCACCAATCCAATTTCGTTTCTAATATCTGCGCCTCCAATAAAGTCTGCAACAGCAATAACAGGAAATGCAACTTGCAACGCACTCTTTACTTAGTTAGGTGAGTGGGAGCATAACGGTGCTTAGTATTTTTACGTTAATTTCGAGATGGTCGTTTTTTAACATTTTCGTTTTTTTTTTTTTTTGAAAGTGTAGAATGTATGTATGTATGTGTGGTGTGGCATACTAAATTGGTTTTGTGTTGCACTGTGGCAGCGCTAATGAATGGCCAAGCGTTAGTTGGCATACTTTGCATGCATTTAGGCGAAAACGGAATATATGTAAAATCTATGTTGAAAAAAGATTCGAAAAATTCAAAATCTCAAATTAAAATGAAAATCAAAAAGAATTAACCAAATGCCTGAGCCCGCGCAGTGAGGCCAACATACCCGCGGCAACTAACGAAGAAATGAGTAAAATAAAAGCGAAATCATTGAAAGCATATATTTAGGCGTTAGCACAACAAAAACAGCAGCAAACAAAGGCACAACTAAAAACGCCAAATTAATGCTTAGAAAGCGCAACTAAGCACCGCTCAAACAGCAGGCCGCGCGCGGCTCCACCGCCGCATTTACCACCAAAACGAAACGAATCAGTGGATGCACGAAAAAAAATGCGAATGTTTGTAAATGTGTTGGTGTGTATGTAACTAACTAGAAACAAGCTGCACACATTTTGTTGCATGCATTTAGGCGCGACTCGAGCTCGTTGTTTTTCGATTTCTTCAATAATTGGAAATTTCAGTGCAGCGCAAAGCCGGTACATCTGTGACTGCCTGTGTGTGGCGTTTTGGCTGTGTTCACTTGAAGCGCGCTTATTTTGTAACTTGGCCAGGCTTTTTCACACCCTGTTAAGGTAGCGATTTTAAAATCAGTGGTTCCAGCAGAGGCTTTGTGGTGATACTTCAGTGTTCATCTTAGAACGTGCGCTAGTTTATTAAGTTACGATTGCCTATAACCACTTCGCCCATCCAGCTGCTTCTACATCTAACCCCACGTTTACGATCTTCCCAACCCTCTACATCAATCCAGACATCTCTAAGGGCAAGCACATCTATCAATGACTTTAGTTGCCTACCAACAGTCACTAGTTCCGTTACTAACTAGTTTTCAACAGACATTTATGTAACCACCAAATGTTCATGTTTCAGCTATTACCCAAGAACTAATATCCTAAAAGCTGGGCCTAAATCATAAAAAATAAAAAAATAACATGAAGCATGGTTTTAGGTGCCCATTGACGTGCACAAGAGTGGACATACATACATTTCCATAACCCCAATCAGTAGACAACCTCCTGACTCCTTCCTTTCTGGCACACACTCAAGCAAACATTCGTTCATTCATTCATTCACTCTTCGCTTACTAAGCCTAAAAGCATGCTTCATATGTTATGCGTTAGCATTTTAATTATTTAACGGTGTTTGAAAAGAAATCGTCAAAGCGAAGCATCAAATGCGCATCCATAAGGGTGGAGGCGGCAAGCGAAAAAAATCTAAAAAACAAATTGATGCCACCAATTTTAATATTGACACATCGCCATCTATGACGCAGCATACCTTCAGGCGACTTAACGTTACACTTACTTACCGTCATATATGCTTGTTGCAATATTACGTAATAAAATATTTAATTGGAAATTTGTTGATATTGTCGATTGCAGTCACCCTTTCTTGCTCCAGCTGATGCGCAGATTGTAAGCATAGTATCATTGCACACTTTCAGGCGCTAATTAGTAAACATTTCCATTTAATTGAGTAGCCTAGTAGCAGTGTTACGAACACAAGCAGTTCTTGGTGAAGCTCTCCAATAAAGAAATGGCAAACGGTTAAGTGGGTTGAACGACTTTTTTACTTTTCAAATGATTTCGAGCGTTAAATGCCTTCAATTGATCTGCTATCAGGCGTAAGTGTGAAACCTGACACATACCTCAATTGAGCAGCTGCTTTTAGGAATTGAGATAATGGCATGAAATCAGCGAGAGGGTTGAGAAGGAAGTTTTTACTGCCTTAAAATGCAAGAAATGTTAGAACTAGTATTTACAATATTATTATGTAAATATTTTAAATAATACGAGTAAATTGATTTCATTTTTTTATTTCGACATTAAAATAATCGTGAACCGACAATTCTCATTTCTTTTCGCCTACTTTACACAATAAGTCACCGACTCAGTCTTACTCTTAATCCAACGCATATACGAGGCTACTTTGGTATTCACGGATGGCCTCCGAGCTGCACACCCATAGCCGTAACTAACTATACCGACCACAAACAGGCGTCCGCCCTCGCGCATGTATAAACCACCACCCGAGTCATACTGGCATGTATCGCGACCAGGAGTATATGTACAGAAAGTTGCCGGCGGCAAAGCACCCAACCAACGACGACACTCTTCAACACCGATCACATCCAACTGAGCTGAGAGCAGTAGTGACGATTGCGGACCACCAAATGAAATGCTGCCCCAGCCGGCGGTCTCTACAAGCTGGCCCACAATGGGTGGCTTGAGTCCACCACTTGTGCCGGTGATCGAATGAAAGGGCAGACAAGCAGGCGCGACGCCACGATTCCACACCATCGCTTGACTTGTACGTAAAAGTGCAATATCATTGCGCACTTGATTGAATGTCGCGCGGAACTGTTCGTGCAAGATGATTGCGTTGACACGGTAGTAATGAGTGTAGACCGATTCCAGCACTGAAAATAAAGATGAAATGATTGGATGAGATGTTTGAGAAATCGATGGGTATTTGCTTCCTAAATGCTTACCAGTTGAGAGATCGTGCTCACCCACGACCACCTGTAACAGATCCGAGCTGTTTGTGGCAGCTGAGATGAAACAATGTGCGGCGGAAAGCAGGTATCGATGATGAACTAAAAGAATTTAATAGCAACATAAAGCTTTTCAGACGAGAATATAACTTCTAGATTCTAGTATATAAACACTGGAGACCGCAATAGCCGAGTGGTTAACATTGCGTACTGCCATTCAGAATGGCAGGGTTCAAATCCTGGTACGACCAACACCCAAAAGTTATTGAAAATCAATTTAAATAAAAACAAACCAATAAAAAAAACTAAAATCTGGAGGAGGAGCTTCGCCAAAAATTGCTTCAGCGGTTACAAGGCGCCAATTATATATATACATATGTATATATAGCTTCTAAGCATAAGGCGACATACTCACTTATTACGGCACCACAAAATATCTTGCCATAATCTATCGTTAGCACCCCAGCCATGGAGGAGTACTCATTAAGACCCGCCGCACTCGAAGGACTGACCACCTTCAATGTGTGCGGGCTCCAGCCGCAGTCACATTGGGACGCCACCGACTCGACCAAGCAAGAGAAACGTCCATTGCCCGCACCAGCCGGATAACCGGCATAATTTTGAGGATTTGATAAAATGCGATAGTCTCGTGATACCAAAGGCTCGTTAATCGAAGATGTGGGCTTGAAGTCTTCGGTGGATACATTTTTTGTGATTGTGATCGTTGTTAAAGTAGTTGCTGGTATTGAGATCGAGGCATTACGTCCGCTGTAGATGTTTAATGGTTCCGGTGAGAATGTCAAAAGGTCATTACTGCCGGCTGTTGAGCCTCGTCGTGTTGGCTTCGTCAGCTTTCCTCGATTGTCCTTAGGTTTTGTATGCTTGTGCGTCTGTTGTGTTGCTGGCGCAATGAAAACGCTCGTCTCTATGGTGTTGGAGAGTAGTGTTGTCAAATAAGTGAAAGGATTGCTAATATCAGCTGACGTTTCCGAAGAGATTTGAATCGTTGAAGGTTTTTTGTGCTTATTTTTATGCTTCTTCTTCTTTTTATTTTTATTTTGATAATTTTGCGTATTCGCTGTTGTACTTGTTGTACTACTCACAGTAACACCTTTCACACCCACACTAGCCAACCTCCGCGGCGGACCCGCTGATATATATGAAATGACGGCACGGTTGAGAAAACTCCGCCGCTCCATGCTACCATGACCACAGAAATACTCCGAACCGGATAAAAGTTCGCTTCCTTCACGGTTGAAGTAGAAAATCTCATCATAACAACGTTCGCTCAGCTGAGCAGTGGACGATGCCGTGGTGTATGTCTATGTAAACAAAGTGTAAAAAAGGAAAGTGAAAAAGATAAATATAAAAAATAGTTGCTGAAACTCCAAAGGTGTGTGTGTGTGTTGATGCGTTGAAGGTAAAAAAAACATGTTTTTGTAGTAGAAAATAAAGTTTTATAAAAATATTTAACTTGATGCTTAAGAGTATGGAAAGATAATAACCCGTTTTTTTGACACAAGCCACTGGATTTGAAAAAAAAAACACTTTTTCTTGCTCTGAATATGCGCGAATACAGCACAAAGATGGGCAGGAGGCGAGCTTATGACACTTGAAGTCTTGACGCTATCCAACCACGAAAAGCAGCTGCGGCTAGAGTGCCTGTAGTAAGAAGCTTTTATGGACTGAACAATTTTTACTCACTCAAACTCTCATTAATTTCATTTCATTTTTAAACCATCATTTAGCTTGAGTAAGGTTAAATCAAACAAAAAAGTTTAACAGTATTTAGAGTTAAAAATTAATTGACCAGCAAATTTATAAAATGAAAAATTAAGAAGACGCCGGAACTATTTATATTTCGTCATCCAGCGGGAGCCCTTATACGTATTTTGTAGCACACCTTTAGGCGTTTACGGCTTTGGCTGGTGAACAGATCACGTACTAAGACCTTCTCAGTAAACTAGCATTATACATATATTTGATTTAAATCATAGGTTTTGTGCATTGCTCAGTGCTAGAGACTGTGGCATCATAATCTCTCACAGGAACAAAAATCTCATATCTCTTTGATCACTGACTCTAAATGAAGACGTCGAGTTACTTAAGTTCAACCACACTTATTTCTTATCTTGCTTTGACCACAGTGATCATTATTTTGCTTTCGAATTCTCCTATATTAGTATATTTATTTTCAAAATTTTTTAATTTCTCCTACCACATTTATATCGATATTGCACTTGAAATCCAACTGATAATCCCGCGGCGCTCTCAGCGTGTATCGGCAGGAAGTTCCAGCCGGATAGGGTTTTGGATAAAATGGCGAGTTTATGAATATTTTATGGCCAGCCTTCAAATCCAGGGTATGATTGCACTCTTCAAACAAACCGCGCGTTAGAAAAAATAAATTTAAAAAATTCAATAAACTCAAAGAGATTTTTGAATTAAACAACATTTTCTTTTTCATTATAGTTAAAAAGAAAAATACAAATTTGAAATCTTATGATTTCACCGAATCCCAGCGGCATTTAAACGAACTGACACGCACAATTGCTTTGAAGCTACTGCGGTTCAGCTAGAGCGCAAGCGTTCACGCTTAAAATTGATGTCAATAAATCTTGTTTTTTTTGCGTTTTTTCTCTAATTTTCTTTCAGTAGCCGCGAGCCATCGTGTCTTTTCCAACATGCAGGCAGTGAGCTGCTTAGCAAGTAGTAAAAGGCGTGTTGCTGTTCAGAAAGAGTTGCCAAGTAATACAAATTTTCTTAAAATATTAAAATATTATGTAAATAAAAGCTTCTCAAGAACGATTCCTGGAACAGCAAAGCGGTTGATATTGTCAATTTAGCATTACCAGAGCCATAATTATGGCTCATCACGCGCGATCTCAATTTCTCTAACGGAAAACGATGAAACACTTTTAAAAATAGAAACGGCTTCCGTCACCTTGAGATCGCGGATTCAAAACCAACATCATCGGCAGAAAGTTGCCAGAATTATCAGAAACCGACGAGCGGAAGGGAAATGGAAGCTCCACATTTTTGACCTGAACTTCGATGCAAGTAAAGAGTTGAAAATATCCCTAAGGGAAACATGGAATTACAGGCTGCAGTTATATGAAGGATATTGCAAAGTGAGCCACGATTACTTAAAAGAGAGTTTTTTAGTTATCAGCAATTGGTCTTTTTCTCAAGCTCGCCCACAAACAGAATATTACATTGATGAGATTTAATAAAAAAAAATATTTTCCATTAAAAAACAGTCGTCAAATGGCAACTCTACACCCCAACCACACGATCAGCTGTTATAAAAAACAGTTTTTTCGCATTTTCTCACTTCATAGACCATTTACCTCGATACTTCTTCTGTGTCCACCCACTTGCTTTCTCTTTCATTCTTTACACCTGCACGCCGGCAAATTGACTTTCGAGAGTACGCCCACCTTTAGCCTTTTGCAGCTTGGTTTTGTTTGGAAGACAGACAAATGAAGAAAAAAGAAAAAGTGGGTCATCGATCTGTAGTTGCCGGCACGGAAGCTGGGTCAACTATATGTTCAAACATATTTACATATATAGATTTATTAGTGCGTTTCTAGCTACAGGCTAAATGAGTAGTAGCTGTGATCGCAACCTGTTCTACGCAATAGATGTGGGCAGTTGTTGTTATTATTGTTTGATAGTTCAAGAAGCGGAGACCCAAATGAACGAACATTCAAACATTGTCTCAAATATACATGTATATATATGCATAAGTCACATTTTGCTGAATACAATTGAGATCTTCACGTTGCTCTTGGCAAGGAAAGTGCAAGTTAAGTGAGTTTAAAAAAATTAATGCAAATTAAAAATATCATGCTCGTACAGTGTGCTTGAAAGGTTCGTCAGCCCTATCAATAATATTATACTCATATTATACTCACATCCGCAAAAAGTATTCTGAAAAATTGCAAGCAGCAAAAGCTTAAATTTGATAAATTGGTGTTCGGTTACATAAGAAAAATAGTCCAAAAAATATTAGAAGCATAAGGGACATTGCGTTATTAGGGTTGCAAAATACATAGGCACATCTGTACGTACACATACTCACGAGTAGAAAAAGCTCTCCGTGGATTTTTATAGATGTATGAGGTTTATTTGTGGAGGAGTGCACTGTATTTTACAAACTCGTGGGAGAGAGAACTATGCAGAGTCAGAGCCGTGCTCGACGCTATTCAAATTTCGGAGTTAAATTCTCATTTTTGTAGTTTTTTTTTTACTGTGCTCGTTATTGCAGCGCTTTGCGATTTCGCACTCAACGGTGTCTAACGAAAGTGATGTAATTAACCTCAAACTTGGGCTGGAAAATAGTAGCTGGAGAGTTAGCGATTAGAACATGACTTTAAAAACATGTTGAAGCCAAAAAGCTGCTCGACGAAACAAAAGATATTTATACATTAGTAGGCTAAAGTAAAATAAAATAAAATGAAATAATGAAATAAAATTAAAATAACATATAATAAAAAAGAAATAAAATGAATTATAAAAGAATATAATTAAATTAAATGAAAAAAATAAAATAAATGAAGAAAATGAAATTAAAAAAATAGTTATAAATAAATTACCAAAAAACCATAATAATATAAAAAATTAGAAAACAAACAAAATGAAACTGAAATGTAATAAAGTATTGCCGAATTAAGTTAAATAAATTAAAGTAGATGATAATGAATAATAGTAACATAATAAACTCATAATATATAATATAGATGAATTATATTAAATTTATTAAAAAGTAAAATAAAATTCTATTTTTTCTGGATACTTTTTATTTATGATTTTAAAAAATAATAATTTTTTCTGTTTGCACTTAAACATCCTCTATTCGGCTTTAAAAATAATATCCAACTATTTAATTTAAAAAATTATGCTTATTGCTCAAGTTCTATCTCTTTGTTATTTTCCTTAATTGGATTTTGTTCGCAGCCTTTTTTTCTTCATTCTTTTTACGCTCGAACATTTTTCAGCAATATAAAAAACATTTTATGAGTGCTCCAACACCAGCAAAGCTGTTCCTTTGCATTTCGTAATAAACATTAGCTTCACCAAACACACACATTTATATACATATACTATATTTATACATGTGCATATATAAACCACATATTGTCATCACTGTCCTTAAAAGTCAAATTAGTTTCTTCTATTTATTTTCGCAATTTATTTCTTTATTTTATTTTATAAATACATTTTTTTAATATGTTTTATTATCTCTCTTCTTCATTTCCCCACTTTTTAGTTTGGTGCTCTACTCGTAGCCAGTGTTTGTTTTTTCGCGAATCATACATACATACAAACATACATTAAAAAATAACTTTATTTCGGCCATTTTTAATTTCCTACTCCTCAGCGTGTGTTTTGTCGTAAAGAGTCACTAAAGGACAATAACTAACATCAACAGACGCGAATGTCCGCGCGTTATGTTACATTCATGGTTACTTGTTAAGGCCAGCATGGTACCTATAGTCCGCACAACTCATCTCCATCACACTTTGGAAATCAACAACAAACGAAAAAAGGAAATGTCCTTATTGTTGTAGATAAAAAAATAACGGAAAAATAAACAAAGTGGATATTATAAAGTCAAAGCTAATAAAAGAAAATGTAATAAAAATTAAAAAGCAATAAAAACATTTAAAACAGCCACATTTGTCCGTATGTATGAACATCCGCAGACTTCAATAATTTCCTTAAAGAAAATTACAGGGTGTATCTTAAAAAGTTTTCTGGCCATGTTATTATTGGAAATTTCAAAAAGTAAAAGATCTTTACGAATTGTTAATGCAAACTAATGCTCGTAAAATTTCTTAAAATTCAAAACAGTTTGACAACCTATGAATATTTATTTGGATCAGTAATGCCCATCAAACTGTGGTTGTCGTACTCACTATGAGCAACACGAGTAGCAAAACAATACGTTGCAGGCCAAACTGTGGTTAAGAAAATGAGTGCCAAAATCCCGTTATCTCTTCTTGTCATGCTATTGTTAAATAGATGCCGCTATAAGTACCGTTTGTAGCAAAATTGTGGCTTCTTATCATAAAGGGCTACAAAATTTCGAAATTCATTTAATTTTTTTTTTAATATTTAAATAATTCAATAAAAATAAGTAAAATTTCGTATATACGAGAAAATATAAGTCTATTCTGAAGAAGAGTGGCCATGTACTATTATATTATTGTTATTGTTATTGTTTCGTTGGCTTCGGGCTGGAAGGGAAAAGGTGTTACACATGTGTGTGTAGCTGTTAGTGAATGTGCCAAGTAGCGGAAAGGAAATCAAAGGAATTAAGAATGTTAAGGCTGCCATAGAATAGAGGCTTCAGTTATCCCTGAAGCTTGAAGTCATCGTCTACTATGTGTGGTTGTTGGACTCCAAGGACGCCGTTCACAGAAAATCCGTCCATAGGTTCATTAACTTTCTTCACAGGAAGATCATTGCGGTTAGGACTTCTAGTTTACCATACAGTCTAGCTTTAAGCGAAGTGGAAAGCTGCTTACAAAATCTAACTCTCATCTTCGTGATCGGGACGCAATCACCGAATGAGATTTCTATATGGGGGTCACGTTTCATCGGGTTGGAAAGAGATTTTATAGTGGCCCAAAGCTTGGTCGCAGCGAAGCAGAAGTGCTCTGCCTATTTTGTCTGCTTGTAATGGCTAACCAGCTGCCGAATCATCGCATTGAGATGACTTGTTTGGGTATCTACGGAATCGAATCATATCGGTCATTTCTCGCCGGCACTGCCCTATCGAGCTTCGAGCATACTTCGCCGGGATAAGCAGACTCTCGCGTTTTCAGCGTTTCCTACTCCGTATCTTTCCATCAAGATAAGAGGAAGTGAACTTCAAGTTGCACAATGGTCAAACTATCGGTCAAAACACCAGCGTAAAATCTATTATCCGAAAAGTACACTTTCATTTTCACATAAATATCTTTTTCTACCTTCAAAACCCCAACAGATGTTCAAACTCCAGAAATTCAAGTAAATCAGAATTTATAATGAATTTCTTAGAAAAGCCAAATAAAAAAACAAGAAACACTTGAAGCAACAATCCCTTCAATGCGTGCACCGCAGCGATCAAAACGCAACAACTACAACTCGCTTACAAACCGGAAGCGCTGACAACAACAACATCAATACATAACAGTTGATACGAAAAGAGCAACCAACAGAAATGAGAAAATCAAGAAACCGGAACAGACGCGGCCAACAATGCAATGTAACGCACACAATTACAGTATGCGAGTGAACTAACGGCGAATTAAAAGGCAGATAAAACATTCTGAAAAAAATATGAAAGTCTTGAGGAAGTAAGGAAATAACAAGATTCATGGCAAGAGGAGGGCACGGGGAGGGTGTTTGTCT